CGACCCGCCGCTCCTCCCGCCCCGGCGGAGGGGCCGCCTCCCGCCGCCGCCAGATGTGCCCGCGGGGAGGGGCCCTCCCGCCGCCCGGCCCCAGATGTGCCGGCAGATGCGGCCCCCGGCGGCGGGGCGGGGCGAGGCGGGGCGGCGGGGGGATGTGGCGGGGGTCGCGGCAGATGTTCGGCGAGGGTGAGGGGACCATCAGTCTGACCCTCCTGGTCCCCCCTCCGCGCTCAAGGGGACAGGTCCGGGGTGCACACCCCCAGGGTGAGCGGGGCAGAAAGTGAGGGAGAGGTCCGGAGCCGTGGGGTGATGGGCAGCTCTGGGTGCACCATCGCTGATGCTTTCCAGATTCGGTTTTATCTTCCATCTCTTTCCCAAAGGAACAGAGCAGTTCAAAGCATCTCAGCTGAGAGGGTTGTTTATCCTGGTGTGGGGCTGCCACTTCCCCGCCATTCATTAAAAAAAAAGGAGATTAACAACAACAGACTGTGATAAAGCAGTGCATCGGGCCTGGCCCGCTGTACCGTATCCTGTTTTCACAGTTTAACTGCCCGGGACCAGGGGAGCAAACCCACAAAACGACCCGTTGCCTTCGCAAAGCGTTTGGCCGACACGTTGGCTTTGATCACCACAGAACTGCCTACAGGTATGAGAGGCTGCAGGGAAACGAGGATCTGCAAATCAGCCTTACTAGCACTTTCACCTGTAGTATATACATGACCTCATTTTACAGCCGGAAAAGTCAGAGATAACAAGTAACAAAACTATACCTCCTCTACTAAACCAGCACAGAAGTAATAAAGACGTGTAAGAGGACCCGAGCAACCCCTTCTCCTACTTTCTGCTTTGCCCCAGACAACATGGCTCAAGAAGAGAAGACTGAGGGGAGATCTTATTAATGCTTATAAGTATCTAAAGGGTGGGTTGAAGGATGATGCAGCCGGACTCTTTTCAGTGGTTTCCAGCGATAGGACAAGAGGCAACGGGCTCCAGCTGGAACATAGGAAGTTCCACTCAAATATGAGGAAGAACTTCTTTACGGTGAGGGTGATGGAGCCCTGGAACAGGCTGCCCAGGGAGGTCATGGAGTCCCCTTCTTTGGAGATTTTCAAGACCCTCCTGGATGCAGTCCTGAGTAATGTGATCTAGGCGTTCCTGCTTTAGCAGGGGAGTTGGACTAGATGATCTCTATGGTCCCTTCCAACCCTGTCAAATCTGTGAACATCTGAATAGGTCACTTCACTGCTCCGTGTCCCAGTTAGTTTCCCCTGTCTGTAACAAGAAGACCCTAGCAGTAAAATAAATAAATAATTAAATAAGTGATGCAGATCCCCACATAAGAATCAGCTACGATTCAGCTGTTAAGCCCTTCAGTATGTTGTCCGCTACCCAGAAGAAGGCTTATGATGGATGGACTCTTGCTTGGGAAACTGGGGGCTTGTCAGAAGATTTCCCTCTCTTGCGCAGCATCCGCTGTCACCATGTTTCTGCTGCACGTGCTGTGAACGGCCAACACCAAGGTTCTTCTCTGCTCGAGGTGCCGCTGCACCTTCATTTTCCCTGTTCCTGTGCTCAGTTAAGCAGTGGAGTTCTGCATGGCAGATTTTTTGGTCGTTTTTTTATTTTATTTGGCTTTTCCTTTTGCTGTTGAGAGGATGTTTTAGATGTTTATTCTCTGTAATTACTTCTTCTCCTTTATACAAATAATGAGTAAGCAAAGACAGGGCTCGCTGCCTTGAAGCCAGTGAAAACTGTGAGTGTTTCTCTCAGGGCTAAGACCTCATCTCTCCCACACAAAACAGCTCCTGATTTGGGGATAAGAGGAACAAAAGCAGGACCTGGGTGCTTGGACCCAGGCGCTCAGGAGACACCTGTCTCCACATCGTGTTCTTCACCCCCCTGCCCCAAGTGGAGAGTATCCAGTGACAAGGTCTGAAACGCAGAGAGGTTTGCACTGCTGTAACCCCTGCGACATCGGTCTATAGATAACAAAGGATTTAATTTACCACACTCCAGAAGTGGTCACAGTCCCTCCAAAAAGCTTGGTTTTTTAAAGAAATTTAATCGTACCCGAGCTCAAAGCAGGAATCGTTTGGATGATTTCCAAGCCAGACCCAAGTGTCATGACTTCAGAAGGACTCTGATTTTCAAAGGATCCCTACAGAGGCCTGGCATAAGTTAGCTCCCCAAAAGTCTTTGTTTCCCAGAACTTTTGCCATTTACTGTAGATCTGATTCACTACCTGAATTGCTTAACTCAGCTCTCTGCCTTCTCTTTAATGCCTGCCACCCACATAGCACTGCATCAACACACTGTACTATCTTTTTAATTAAAAATACTATAGCAGCTTATGTATGTTTTCATTTAATGCATGCAAACAGCCTTGTTAATTTAAACAAGGTAACCTGCAGGTGAAGCTAATCCTGTAGTCAACTCTTTGTCAAAGCAGGCCCCAAAGTTTTAGGTATGAAAGAAATTAAGTGTCATCAATAGTAGGTAGAAAAGAGAGGTAAAACAGCGCCATGCAACAACATCCACAATTTGCAGTTGGTGACCCTATTACCGCTGAATACATTAAAGTTGAGGGTTTCATCATTTTGCTTCATCAGCTCTGTCTCAGTTTTAATGACCGTGTGGCCAGGGCCACCCTGAGAACACGGCTTGCTTCCTGGAAAGTGTTGAAGGGTGGCAGTGGTTAAGGAAACACTGAAATGTTCCTGTTGCCTCAGGGAAGGAATGATCTGGGACTGTTTTCACATTTAGTAAATAAGCAGAATGTGATTTCTCGTGCGAGGGATGCTTTTGCTTGTGCAGGGTCATGTTAGTTTTGACTTGCCCAACTCAAGCACGTATGAAGTTGATTAAGCTGCACACTAAATTTTGGAATGCTCTCAAAGAAAAGAACGAGGAATTCAATGTAGTAAAGTGCTTATCAGAAGTTTTATTTATACTGTTTATGTAGGAAGATGCATTGTTTCCTGCAGTTCATTCATAATGATGTAGATTAATAATATAAATTCAAGTTTCTCTTCTGGATTTTGCTAGCAACTGGAATAGCTCAGAAGCAAACTTTGATAACTGCCTCCAAAGAGTCTCTTTCAGAAGCCCATTTCCATAGTGGAAAGGCACAGCCTCTGCACACTACAGAACAGAAGGACAAGGGTGTAGAGAAAAAAAATTAGAAACACACTGGGGTCATTTGCATTCATGAAAAGCTCACAAGGTCTTGAGCAGTTATTGTATTATCCTACTACTCATAGACCTCCATCAGAGCTGTTGCACTAGGCTCAGTATAAATGCACAGAGAGCTGTGAAAGTTTAATAGTGATCCTGAACATAGAAGATTATTTTTCCCTACTTCTCACCCCGACCCTTTAAAAAAAACTATGAACATCATGTTGAGGAGGCGGGTTGAGGGTTTTTTGTTTCTTTAAGATGTCTCACTGGAACTTTCAGAGGTATGCACTGTGATTTTTCTTAATCCATTTACAACCAACTTTTTCATCAGTGCATTTTCCATCTGCTTCAATTAAAGAACACGTAACCAGTTATTGTAAATAGTCTTAATCCCACTACAGCATTGTGTTTGCATCAAGTGCCTTGGTGGCAACTCCACCAGATCTCCAGCTGTTGGTATTGATATGTTTGGGAAGATCAGAGCAGGACGGAAGGTGTAAACAAAGAGAAAACAGAAGTGTTTTAGAACATCTTGGGCCTAGGATACTTTTTGGATTTGAAAGGCCTTGTGTTGGTCATTTGTGAACTCTTCCAGATGAATGCCCAGACAGAACCTGTCCAGATACAAAAAGTATGCTCTGCATGATTAGACCTAGTTACCTAGAAAGATGTGGAGTTCCTTCCTAACTTTTCTGTGATTAACAGAGTTGCCTGATATTTAAAAGGCTGAGTGTAGCAAGAAATAAATGGGCAGAGCAAAGGGAAAGAGTGAAAGAAAAAGCTGTGAGAGATGATCCATGGGTCCAGAGGAAGCAGATCTGGGACAGTAAGGAAGTGAGAGAAAGAGTAGGAAAAAAAACCAGAAGCAGCAGAGAAAAATCAGGGAAGAGAAAGGAACTGAAGAAATGTCAGGGAATATTGTAGCAGGGGCTGAGGTCTGCCTGGGTCTAAACAGGTATTACAGCCTGAAAGAGGAGGGTGGAGCAGCCAGGAGGGCATGTGTCAGAGCAGGAAAGAGCTAGGAAGGGACTCTGAGAAGACAGTGGTATGGTCACAGCAGCACGCAGGTAAGTTTGGGTGGCAAAGAGCAAAGGACGAGGAGAAGAAGGCCTAAAAGAGTGGGGGTAGGTGGTTGTGCCTCTTGCCTCTGTTTTGGTCATCCTGTGTCATGTCTTGAAAGGATAAGAAACTGTGAAAATGAAAATATTTTTTTTATTTTTCCTAGTAGGTACAAGGTGTTACCTTACATCTGGAGCCCAACATATGAAATATGCCACAAAAATGTGCACTACATGAAAATATTGTGACGGGGGAAGATTCTTCTCATTACAAACACTATTATGGCATTTAATCCATCTAGGAGACAAAAAGTCTCTGCTCTCTGTCAGAGGCATTTTTAGTAAAATATGTTAATGCAGGACCAAGACACTAGAAATGGGATGCAACTGTTTTTAAACTAACCATGGAAAAAGGCACCTCAGAAAACATGCAGTGGTGACCATCAGGGGTTGCCTCCAGAGAGCATCACGGTTACAGAGAGGAATTGCCCCAGACTGCTTCCTCCATTTCACAGATAATTACAGGGCTCATCTTAGATTAGTAGCAAAAATAAACAACTTTGAAAAATATCAGCTAAAACAATAGCATTGCTGACCAAGCAGAAAATAGGTAAATGATAGCTCTAATCCACCAAAAGCAAATCCTGACCGATACATGGGACATGGCATGACACTAACCAGAGCTGACTTATTTTCTCAAGGGTTAGGTTTGAATTCCATTTTGTTATAAGAGATTAGAGCTGAAGAATGTGAAATCTTCCATGGCATCCCTGCTATCAAACACCATCGGCCTCTGAGGTGCGTATGTGCTTCTTGTCAGTCCGGGCTCCTCTGACAAGGCTTGGGCCATCACTTTAAGTGCACAGAGAGCACGATAAACAGATCCCTTCTACCCAGTCTTTGTAATAGTTAGAACAAAGTCTCTGTGCTTCTGAGGTTTATGAGGTTTCCCACCTAAAATGACATGATCATCCCATGGCAATGCCAGGCTGGAGAAGCCCTGGGTGATGGGGAAGACTTTGGAAGGTCACTGATGGGAAAATCAGTTTTTAACCACAACAGACACAAATACCTGCTCAGTTCCCGCATGCACATACAAGAAATAGAATAAGTGGGGAACTAGGTCTGATGGTACAAATTGAAGTACAATTTGAGTACTCATTCTTTTGTTTGCAAATACACATCCTGGTGGCAGCACAGAGGAAGATGGCCCTGGGAAGCATTCCTCTTTTTTTTCCAAACAAATTAGGTGGTCCTTTGCTTAAAAAAACTGTGGACGCCCTGTTTTAGCATGCAAGTTGTGACAAAGGAAGTGCAACATTCAAGATTGTTGCGTGTGCTTGCCAGCAAAACAGCTCATAAATGGCCACATGCTAACAGCCCCCCCATCCTCATTTTGGATCACAATGGATCCCCAGCAA